AAAGTGCCAGCTAAGCTCTGGCTTGTCTATAAATCCAAGGAAATCCCATAGGCTGTACATTAAAATTGACAGATCGTAATTACCACTACACAGTAATGCTCATGTAAAACTAATTCAATATATTTGTATTACTCTCTAGACACTTATGAGCAAGCAGATATGTTTTATTCTTTCAAAATAGCCCACTATGATATTTCCTGTTCAGCAAATTTGAGTACACACAAATTCTTATTGAGTAGAGCTGTCAAAAATAAAAGCAAACTATAAAAACAACATTCTTTATAGAAATATACTTATGCGAGTATAAAAGGTAATGATGCTTACTAAAATCTATTATTTTCACATGTTTTGATTGCATGCCAAAAATGAAACTTTGAAAGACTGTATTGACGTACAACACAAAGGCAACGTTAGACACCGTGGGAAGGGTATCCATATTTATCTCAACACATCAACTTAAGTTAGATACTAATAAATGCATACATTCTGGGCACTAAGTCAAAATCACAGATCTTATTTATAAAGATTTGGAATTGCGTACTGTGTATTTGTTTGTTGTATAAGTAACATTCCATATGGTCAGTGTTGGTGGAAGGCCAATAATCTTTAAACAATGGCAAGAATTCCAGATCACATGTCTAAAAAAGGAAGTTACCCTTTTTTTTTTTTTTTTTTTAATTTTTTAAAATCATGAAATCAAAACAAGCGTTGTAAAGACATTTCTGCAAGGGTACATCGAAAAAGAATCATGTCAAGGAGTTACATGAAATGTTGCACATACTGCACTTTTTATGAAATAGGGAACATGAGTGTAGCAGGAGTAATACGCTAGCTTTTAAAGATATTTAACAAGATAATATCAAGCTAGTCTAAGATGTCTAAAATGGTCAGAGTGCACAATAGGAGGAGATAGAAGACATGTGAAGTAAAGGAATTCGTTTTAGCACATGCATTAGGAAGTTACTTTTTTAAATGTGGAAAAAAAGCAGCTACTAGTGTTTAGTTCTATATTTTATTATTATTATTATTATTTATAAAGTGCCAACAAATTCTGTAGTACTGTTTAATAGGTGGACTAACAGACGTGTGTGCAACAAGGCGAGCTGGACGCACAGAAACATAAGGTGTTGAGGGCACTGCTCAAACTAGCTTACATTCTAGAGGGAGTGGGGTAAAGTGGCACAAGAGCTAAAAAGGTTGGATGTATTTCAAATACAGGAAAAAGTAGGTTTCTAGAACAGTGAAGGGTTAGTTTTTGGATGAGACAGTTGCAGGAGAGAAAGCAGGGTGAGTAACCAAGGTGCGGGGAGGGAAAGCTATTAACAGTTTAACTGATATGCTTTCTTAAAGTGAGGGAGTGAGTTTTTAATGATCGTTTGAAGGAACTGAGACTTGGGAGCAGGGAAGGTAGTTACATAGGATAGGTGCAGCCCTAGAGAAGTCTTGAAGGTGGGGGTCAGCGATGTGAGTATAAACAGGTAATAGATAACAGAGCGTTGGGGCCTGGACGGGACATACTTGTGTATTAGCGAGCATAGGCAGGTAGGAGCAGCATTATGCAAAGATTTGTAAGCAAGCACCAGAATTTTAAATTGAGCCCTATTTCTAACGGGAAGCCAGTGTAAGGACTGACCGAGAGGGGAGGCATGGGACTTGTGGGCAGACATGAAGATGAGCTTTGTAGGCACATTCATTATAGATTTTAAAAGGGTCAGCTGGGAATGCCTAAGACCACTGAGAAGCGAATTGCAGAAGTCAAAGCAAGAGATGAACCAGCACCTTGGCTGCATCAGAAGAAGTTAAGAATCAATAGTGTCTCTCAAGGAACTTGGAGGCAAAGGGCAGTAGAGAGATAGGGAAGTAGTTGGATTTGGTGTTAGAGTAAGGTTTTGACTTTTTTAGAATCAGGGTGATGGTTGCGAGCTTAAAGGGTGAAGGAAATATGCCAGAGGAGAGGGAGATATTTAATATTTTAGGAGGGAGCAGAGCAAGAGAAGAAGATAAAGAGCAAGTGAGATGCAAGGGAATAGGATCGAGGGAACAAGTGGTGGGGCTGGAGGACCAAAGCAGAACAGAAACCTGTGATGGCATAGCAGGTGTGAGTGAGCATAAAAAGAGAGAAGGGTGCAGAGCTGAGGTTAGTAGTGGTAGGGGTAGGAGAGAAGTTAGAGATCTCTTTCCTGATCACAGAAATCTTGTCAGTGAAGAGCGTTGCAAAGCATGTAGTGGTCAAGTTAGTAGGAGGAGGAGCAGCAACAGGGTGAAGAAGAGAGTTTGGATTATCCAGAGAGCATAGTTATAAGGATTTTGAACTAGTTTTCTTTTGCAGAGGAAAGAGCCAAACGCTAGGAACACAGCATAGATTTATAGTGGAGAAAGTCACACGCAGAATTAGACTCTCCAGCAGCATTAAGTAGTTATTGAGTATTGTTGGAGGTAACAGATAAGTTTACTGTGCCAAAGTTGTAACTGGGGTCGCTTACAACGTTAAAATACAGAAGTTGCCATGATATCTATTTCACCCGAGAGGATAGGGTGAAAGGAGAGTGTGGAGGTTGGTGGAAAATTGCTGTAGGTCAAGACAGTGGAGGTTTCAATAAGATTGGTGTACCGAGGGTAGTGTGATATGGGTACGGGGTATGCCAATGTCAAAGGTCAGCAGATGGTGGTCAGATAGAGGAAATGGAGCATTGGAGAGATTAGGGATGGTACAGAGATTGGTGAAGATCAGATCAATAGTGTGTTCCGCTTCATGTGAGGCCGAAGGAGGAGGTTACAGAGAGAAGTCAAGAGGCATCAGATCTGTTAGGGCTGTTGATTGGGGTATTCAAGTCCTAAAGGATAAGAGCAGGAGCGCTAGAGGAGAAGTGGGGCAGCTAGGAAGAAAAGCTACAATGTATATACTAATATAACCAGGGGGCAATAAATGATGGAATTTCTTAAAGGAGCGGGTTTAAATAGGTGGATAGTGTGAACTTCAAAGAAATAACAGAAAGGAAGGGATAGGGAAGATTGGTTGAAAGGTACATTGGGGGGAGATAAGAATGCATACATGCCTCCTTTACAGTTGTTATATCTGGGAAACATAAAGAAGCAGGTAGAGTAGAGGGGGACAGCCAGGTCAGCGAGTGCAGTAGGTTGAGAGATTTTGAAATGAAGAGCTCATGTATTCCAGTCAATTTCAAGTTGTTGCAGACAAAGCATACATTTCAGCAGTGCACACTGTACATTGGTAGATGAGGAGAAATTACAGGGTACAGGAACGAGATTTATGTGGTTTCTGGCTGGCTTAGCATAAGCAAAGGAGAGACATCTCCAGCTGAAGAGACAATGATAGGAGGTGAGAGTGGGTTTTGTATGGATGGGGTCTAGGATAAGATTGTTTGGCAATAAGAGAGAATAGAGAAATTAGTGCATGGCGTGAGATGAGAGAAGGAGGTAGTGTAGTAGAGCGGCTGTAATGTGGAGGTTGTTGGGAGGTTCAGGAAAGTGGGGGTAAGGAGTGATAATGATCATAAGAGAGGAAAGGAAACAGAGTATTGTTCATATAAGTGGATTTTGAAATGGTAGAGTAGGTCGAGAATGATGAGGAGAGGAGATGCAGTGGTGTATAGTGTTTGGGGAAAAATAAAGTTTATAGTATTGATTTGCAATAACAGTAAGAGTAGGGAGAGTGGAGATGGCTTGTAAGGGGTTAAGAAATTGCATGAATGTGCTGATTAGTGTTTGCAGCTGTAATTTCTGCAGAATTAGAGTTGTATGGGGCACTATCTATAAATAAGAAGATGAGCTTGGAGTGGGTGGGTGAGGGGCAGGATGGGAGTTCTGTTCTCAACTGAAGCAGTGTAATTTTTAACTCAGACTGTAGGAGCGAAAGATAACAGGGTCAATTAGGCCTGCAATAAAGCTATGGAATGGGGAGATGCACAGAGGTGAGGGTTAGTCAAGCAAATAAAAACATTTGGGTATATATCAATAAAAGAAGGGGGAATGCAGAAATCACAAAGAAAACTCTTTAGAGATATGCATATAGATGAATAACAATTAACTGAACAAGATAAAAATATTGGCTAGTAAAGCTAACTTTAGCATACAGGGCAAGACATAAAGGTAAAGGAATTATCCAATGTATACGAGGTCTGTCTGGAAAATGTACAGCCATTGTTAATATAACTAGTAAGGTTTGCGCGACATCGATGTAACCTGGCACCCATGGAGAGTGGACTGTAATACATATGCGTGAACAATGACGACTTCAGTGTACTAGTCAGTGGGGGAGCTAGACGCTATTGAGTGAGCATGTGTACTGTGCGTCTGTTACGTTCAAAATGACAGAGTGAGTAAAGCAACAAATCAGCACCGAATTTTGCGTTAAGCTTGAACATTACTCCAAGGAAACTTGTCGGACGATTCAGAAGGCTTTCGGGGATGATATTTCTTGTCCTAATGTTTCTAATACCCCGCCTCCTATAGTCTGTAAGCTCATTTGAGCAGGGTCCTCTTCAACCTATTGTTCCTGTAAGTTGTCTTGTAATTGTCCTATTTATTGTTACATCCCCCCTCTCAAAATATTGTAAAGCGCTACGGAATCTGTTGGCGCTATATAAATGATAATAATAATAATAATAATAATAATGATATGAGTGCAGCACAAAAAAAAAGCATGGCACAAACAATTAAAAAATGGTCAAAAATCTGCTGAACGTGATACGCATCCTGGAAGGCTTGCAACAAGCAGAACACCTGAGAATGTTGAACGTGTACGGGCTGCAATCAACAAAGATCGGTAACTGACAGTGTGAAAACTAGAAGCTGATGGCGATTCCAACAAATGATTTTGCAGAGTGTTTTGAACAGTGGAAGAAATGCTGGGAGAACTGTGTGAGGTCCAAAGGTGAAACATGCACAATGCTTCTTGTATCTTCTTCAATAAATGTCTATTTTTCATATTACTTGGCTGGACAGACCTTGTGTGTGTGTGTGTGTATGTATGTGTGTATGTGTGTGTGTGTGTGTGTGTGTGTGTGTATATATATATATATATATATATATACACACACACATACGTACTTGCAAGTCCCTGCACACAAGCTCAAATGTCCCTTAAATCGTCGGGGGCCGAAAGCCTGGGCTCTAAAATATATACCAGTTTATTGAAGTGGCTGCACATAACAACTAAAAGATCAACGTTTGAGTCCCCTGTTTGACTTTCTTCAGGATCAAAACAAAGTCCTGAAGTAAGTGTGTGTGTATGTATGTGTATGTGTATATATATATATATATATATATATATATATATATATATATATATATACATACATATACAGTTGCAAGAAAAAGTATGTGAACCCTTTGGAATGATATGGATTTCTGCACAAATTGATCATAAAATGTGATCTGATCATCTAAGTCACAACAATAGACAATCACAGTCTGCTTAAACTAATAAAACACAAGAAATGAAATGTTGCCATGTTTTTATTGAACACACCATGTAAACATTCACAGTGCAGGTGGAAAAAGTATGTGAACCCCTAGACTAATGACATCTCCAAGAGCTAATCGGAGTGAGATGTCAGACAACTGGAGTCCAATCAATGAGATGAGATTGGAGGTGTTGGTTACAGCTGCCCTGCCGCATAAAAAACACACACCAGTTCTGGGTTTGCTTTTCACAAGAAGCATTGCCTGTGAATGATGCCTCACACAAAAGAGCTCTCAGAAGACGTACGATTAAGAATTTTTGACTTGCATAAAGCTGGAAAGGGTTATAAAAGTATCTCCAAAAGCCTTGCTGTTCATCAGTCCACGGTAAGACAAATTGTCTATAAATGGAGAAAGTTCAGCACTGCTGCTACTCTCCCTAGGAGTGGCCGTCCTGTAAAGATGACTGCAAGAGCACAGCGCAGACTGCTCAATGAGGTGAAGAAGAATCCTAGAGTGTCAGCTAAAGACTTGCAAAAGTCACTGGCAAATGCTAACATCCCTGTTAGCGAATCTACAATATGTAAAACACTAAACAAGAATGGATTTCATGGGAGGATACCACAGAGGAAGCCACTGCTGTCCAAACAAAACATTGCTGCACGTTTACAGTTTGCACAAGAGCACCTGGATGTTCCACAGCAGTACTGGCAAAATATTCTGTGGACAGATGAAACCAAAGTTGAGTTGTTTGGAAGAAACACACTATGTGTGGCGAAAAAAAAGGCACAGCACACCAACATCAAAACCTCATCCCAACTGTGGAGTATGGTGGTGGGTGCATCATGGTTTGGGGCTGCTTTGCTGTGTCAGGGCCTGGATGGATTGCTATCATCGAAGGAAAAATGAATTCCCAAGTTTATCAAGACATTTTGCAGGAGAACTTAAGGCCATCTCTCTACCAGCTAAAGCTCAACAGGACAATGACCTAAAGCATAGAAGTAAATCAACAACAGAATGGCTTAAACAGAAGAAAATACGCCTTCTGAAGTGGCCCATTCAGAGTCCTGACCTCAACCTGATTGAGATGCTGTGGCATGACCTCAAGAAAGCGATTCACACCAGACATCCCAAGAATATTGCTGAACTGAAACAGTCCTGTAAAGAGGAATGGTCAAGAATTACTCCTGTCCGTTGTGCGCGTCTGATCTGCAACTACAGGAAACGTTTGGTTGAAGTTATTGCTGCCAAAGGAGGTTCAAACAGTTATTAAATCCAAGGGTTCACATACTTTTTTCCACCTGCACTGTGAATGTTTACATGGTGTGTTCAATAAAAACATGGCAACATTTCATTCTTTGTGTGTTATTAGTTTAAGCAGACTGTGATTGTCTATTGTTGTGACTTAGATGATGATAAGATAACATTTTATGACCAATTTGTGCAGAAATCCTTATCATTCCAAAGGGTTCACATACTTTTTTGTGCAACTGTGTGTGTATATATTGCAACTGTGTGTGTATTTATACACAAAATATAAACACCCAGGTTGTAATAGACATTAGAGTATTTATAATGTATTCTATGAATGCATACATACTATAACAGTGGCAGTAAAACTTGGTGTCTAAGAGATTTCTAAACTATATTTACTATGATACTTGGCCAGCTCTTAGGCTGATATTTTAATAGAATATCAAATTTACTAAAAAAGAATTAAGTAAAATTGGCTGTATAAAGCTTTTTAATTTCAATTAAATCTAAATTAAATCAAATGTACATACAATAAAGTAGGGATTACAAAGCCTCTGAAAATGGCATAACAAGGCAAACTGGAATATCGATTAAATTTAGGCTATTTTCCGTTATTCTCATATTTTATTGTGTGATACCCAATAAATACTATGGTAACTAAGGAACAGAGTTAAGGAAAAAGATGCAGCTATGAAACATAAAGAACCAGATGAGTACATTTTCCTACCACGCATCTCTAACACCAAGCATCTACAATATCTGTATGGACTTGAGAAAAAAAATACATAGACTCCACAAGTCAACGGTCTGCTTTAATACGTATTATAACATTTTGTGCTTACTTTTTCATATGGACAAGACTAAACATGTAAATAGAATTCATTCAAGAACACATTGATTTTTAAACAAAATTATTTAGGAACTTTAACATTTTAAATATACAAAATGCTTTTTACTAAAACTTTTTTTTATTTATTTAGGGTTTTCGAATATTTGTACTTATTTCTGTTGACTTTATTATTCCTCCAAATACTGAAAGGTATGAATATGGGTAAAGAGGGTGGGCAGGCTACTAGAGAGTGTGCTAATTAAGTAACAAAGGGTGGTTATAGAGATGTCCTCCATCATAAAACGATGCTCATGAAATGATGTGTGTCATTGTGGCATGCATTCATACAAGGCTGATTGCCAGCTGTGCTGCCAAGCCCCACTTAGCGCAGCCCATGTGCAGAGAAAATCTGAAGCACCATATTAAAGGCTGAATGCGCTTAGTTTGGTTTGCTTTGTTCAGGCATGTGTGTTTTTGAGTACTTGTCTCTGTTGAACTTAGAAGTAGGAGACAAGAGATCAAACCTCGGACAGTGGATCAGGAGCCTCAAATATATTGGGAGGTATGCTTTAGGAGCAACACTGTATGAAACTTACAAAATTGCAGACAATTAATAATCAATTAATACATCATAACATTCTATATATTCTACAGAAACATAAGCACTTGCCATGATATAGGTTGTGGTGTCATAATTATGCATTTCCTCTTCCCTATGTTCAATATGATATTCAATGCATTGGTAGCAACTAGCTGCAAATATTTTCATTATATGACGATGCATTAGAAAGTATTGTCACAGACTGTAATTTGGAATAAAGAGATGAAAGCACCTGGAATTACTAACAATTCTAAAGCCCGATTTAGTATATAATGACGCCAACTATTTCAGGTCAGGACAGAAATAAAGAGTCTTATGATTTTACCTTAATAATAGAAACCATGTATCAAGTGATGAGCAAAGACTATTCACGTTAAGAACTCTTGCTATTTTTCGCTACAATGCTATAGATATCTTTAAGTAGAATGACTTTTGCTGTAGCAGGATTAAAACTAGCAAGCAGATTGAATGACACAGTGTAACGGCCAATAGAGGTAGAGACAGGAAGATGTTTGTGTTATTTAAAGAGTGTTTGTCATGATAAAATATAAAAATGTATATTGAAAGACTGCATTATTATTATTATTATTATATTATTTATATAGTGCCGTCAAATTCCGCAGCGCTTAAAATGATTACTTATGAACTCTACGCCCTTTATATTCATTAGAGCGATTTCTGTTTATTTTGATTATGTTAAGGTAAGAGTGATGTTAAATTGTTTGGTTTTCAAGGACTCGAATATAAAAATATTTTAAATAATTTTAAATATGCATCATTTATGAAAAATTATTAGTCTTTCTTAGCTCTATACAGTGTTTCCACATGAAAAAAAAATGTTACAGTAGCATTTTGTTGCAATAGTTTTGTGTTGTATTTGAACAAAGGTAAAATATTTAACATTTTTAATTGTTTATTAAAAAAAACAAAAAAATCTTTATGTTCCCTCTGCCTTCTTAACGTTTTCTCAGGGAGGGAGGAAGGGCACAATTAATAAATTTGTCACAATTGATACTTTATCGCTTTGATTAGATCTTGCTTCTTACTTAATCTGAGAGCATTGTTTACAGAACACACTTTATGTCCGCGAAGTTGTACAGGTAAAAAATACTTTATTTTCCGCCAATCCTCATCTACCTTACTGTAGATGTTTCTGTATGGCTGTAAGAAAAAAAGTGCAGATGAATAATGAAGTAGTCCTCCTTTTCTACTTCTCAGTAAAATACGACTAGTCTGCACATCTTTTTTATAAAAAAAACTTGTAACCTTTGTAATTGCTGTTCCAGCTAGCAGTGTATATGGGAAGTTTCAATAACAGACTATAATTTTTCTTGTCCTGCGCAGCTCCTCCAGCTACAGGCAGAGTTCAATCCTCTTGCGAGATTCTCGTAGCATTGCTCTGGTTGCGTGTTCAGCTTGCGGGAGGAACATTCACCCTCCCAGCTCGACCTCCCTCACTCTGCTTTCCTGCAGCTAAATGCCTGTGGGCCAATGAGGGAGCTCTTTGATATCCCCACCGGCCCGTGAAGATACACAGCAATGCCGGTGTAGCTTTGATAGATCCAGCACTCCCAGGGCTGCCTGGGCTGGCAGGGGAGATCCCTTTATCTCCCCTGTTGGCCTCGGCCCACAGCCATTGCAGCCAACTGGGAATTTTCCTGATGGCTAGTCCAGGCCTAGCATGCGGGGGAAAGAGGAGGTTAAACATAAGCTCACAGAGTGGTATTTCCCGTTTACATTTGATTTTCTATTACCAAGCATCATTGTTTTTAAACATAAATAAAACAGTTTGAAGAACTTAAACAGAAATAACAGTGGGCCGGAGTACCGGTTATACCAGCCCAGTGGTGGGTGGGGGAGAAGGGGGGCCGGGGGACATCTTGGTTGTTAGCCTGTTTGTTGCGTCCCCAGTCTGTTTCTATGTCCCTATCTGTTCATGTAATTTTCCCAAAGTTCCCAGGTCC